ACCAGCGCATGCCGTGGGAATGCTCAGTTGAGGTATGTGGCAAGACAATCGTAATAGGCCGCGCTGGTGCGCATGGTGGGCAGGGAAAGTCGTCCGCGCTCACGGACGAGTTTTCCTACCCGGTTGCTCGAAATGTAGAGTTGAAGGGACGGGAAATTCTGTTATCGCTCTTGAGTCTTCTACATGCTCGAAATCAAATGAGTTTAGCTGCTTCAACTGACGAACTAACACAGATCGAGATTTTGCCGCGCATCGCACCACGTATGCCGCGCCCGACGACGCGACACGTTGCGATTGTCTTGTCCATTTCCCCCTCAATGGAGGGTGTCAAGAGCTCAAAAAGACGACATATTCACTATGGAATCCATAATATGTTCCCAGACTAGCTGACAAATCGTTCGCAAGAGAGCCTGCCTATGGAAACCATACTCTCCTTCTTACCATTAGACCTGTGGATCAAGCTGGTTTTAGCTTTACATTTAATGGAACTGTAGCTCTGACGATTCGCATATTGGAGCCAACAAACATCTTGAAACTCCATATGGTCTCCATCAAGCTAAGTTCGGTGAAGTTGACCTTAGATGGTGATATAGGTATGTTTTAAGATTTGTTTTGTTCTGAGAGCGATTTGTTTTGTTCTGAGAGCCGAGCTTGCATGGCCAATTTCGCATCATGAATCGGAGAGAAAAGGTTTAGATACATACCACTCACAGAACGATCAGATGAAAAAAAACTTCCAAGAATCAGATATGAATTGATTCTGACTATACTCCAGTTTGACAAAAGCAGGCCCTTCTGCGGAATATCCTTGTCTCATTAAATGTGGATTAACGTGGCCGTATTAAGAATAAGGAGTGTGGAGCGAGCGCTCACATAGGTTGGGGTGTAGAGCGCTTTTACGTATTGGGGTGGGGGTGGGTGGGTGCTGCTTCCCAGTCGCAGCGTCGTGCGCTAGCACGGGTATGTGGCAAGAGAATCGTAATTCGCCGCGCCAGTGGGCGTCGCGTGCGACGTCGCGCCCGCTAATGACGACGATTTTAGGTGGTATTGTCAAGAACAGACAATCTAGACATAAGTGTCTACAAAGTCCTCCTCTACGTGAGGTCCAATGCTCCAGTCGAAAGGGTAGTGCCAAAGTGAGGAACGTCGCGCCCGCTGCTGCGGCGACGAAGCAGGCGATTCCGATTTCTCCTGCGCCGTCTTCCTCGTATGCATCGCTAGGCAGTTGACTAGTAGAGCTACACAAGTGCAGTGGAGGAGCTGGTCCACTCCAGAGATGAGGACGCAGAGTAGAGTGCGAGCGCGCTGATACACCGCTACGTAGACTGAATTGCGTCCTGGTGCGAAAGTTGCATACGTAACTCAGCTTGCGACGCCTATTTGATTGCACTCGCCGCAACTGGGAAATAACGATACAGCCAGAAGGCAGTTACATAAAAGAATGCAATGTTTAGAAAATGCATGTTTATTGAGAGTCATAGGTTCCACTCGTCTGAACACCGATCTTTCAGTTATGAGGAATCTGAATCACACTTATGATTCAAAATTCAATATAACTACTGTCGAATTGGGTAAAATGATTCAACCCCAGACGGTAATATTTGCGAACATTCCGTATCGCTATTCCAGTACAGGTCCGCTATACTATATAGTAGTAGCATAGTATAGGTTGGTAGTACGGGGGTAGTGACAAGAGAATCGTAATTCGCCGCGCTGTGGGCGTCGCGTGCGACGTCGCGCCCGCAAATGACGATGGTTCCAGGTAGTAGATGGCGACAACAGGCAATTCAGAACCGAAAATAGTCATGAATGTCTACGATGACGGGGTCTACATGAAGTCCGGTGCTCCATCGACAGGTTAACACGAGTTAAGAAAACGCCGCGCCATCGCCGCGCGCGGCGGAGCGGACAAATTACGATTCTCTTGCCCGTCTCCCGGTAGTACGCTACTAATACTTATTTGTTGGGACGTGTCACGACTTGGCACGACGCGCTAGAGGCACGCTACGGCACGCTGATGTCTCCTCTGAGACTATAGCGCGCGATTCTGGATACCATCCAACCCGAAAACAAAAATCGATGAAAGAAGTAATGTGGGAAGAGTGTGTGTCATAAGGTGCGATTTATTTAGTAGACGTTGACCAGTAAGGATACTGAATGTGTACAAGAGAGCACAGACGGCACAAGAAACACCAGTTCACCAGGAATTGGAGGAGGACTGCTTCGAATCAATGCTCTTGTGCATATAACCGTTGACTCGTCCATAATGAGGTTCGTGGAGACGCCCTCTCCCGCGCCAAAATGTGGCCTGTGCTTTCGGTATTTTGACAATGATGACCTTGGAACGTGGCTGGCGAGTAGTGAGACGTCATGCGACGTCTCAAAGTGTCCTAAAATATCTTGGACAGTGGACCGTACTGGGCTAGCGTCCATTCCTTTCCCATAGCTGGCTAACGGTTTCGTTTTACAGGTTACCCTATCACTCAAGTATACAGGTGAAATCAATGATAAAATGCGTGGTTTCTATAGAAGTACCTACAAAGACGAAAATAATCAAGTGAAATACCTCGCGTCTACTCATTTTTGAGGGTGGTATTTCCTATGATATCTTTAGCTGGCTGCCACTCTTTCGACCGTTTAAAACTGAGCAATACCCTGAACTTTAAGGCAGCTGGCACGATGCGTTTTCTTACTTGCCCTAAAATGGTACTAGGGCGCTATATAGTGGGGAAATGGCGAAAGAAGGGACTGAAACGGTCAAAAATCTTGCGAAGAAAAAGCCTCCGTTGTTCTCAGTGACTTGTAAATCGATTTCGGACGAGTTTCCCGTAGGCATCTTACCAATCACCGCTACCGAAGATACGGCTGCATATGTGTACCCATGTATGCATGCAGCATGCACCGCCACTTCATACCAATCCCTTCGCTTCATAATTTGCTTAGCAAATGAATGAATACGAGCGTCAGGAACGGTCGTCCATTTGTGGGCGGGCGGGCGTGGCGGGCGTTTGGGACGTAAAGTTGGAGGCTTGA